ACCCAGTGGATATAGTATTGTATGCAATATGGTTGTCATCTGTATTGGATATGGTGAATCAATGGATATTTACTTTTCAATAAATAACATTGGGTTTTAAAATAAAAGTCTTATTCTTTAATTTAAATATTTATTTTTATGAAAACATAAAATAGAACAGAAAACTACATATAACTAAAGAAGTGCTTGCCATCACTCCTCCAGCTGTCATTTGCCTTTATATCAGCCTAATCATTTAGGGCCTATTTCACCTGTCTCCTTATGATCCCCAAAATTTGGCCAATCCATCAGCCCTGGGCTGACAGCCCATTTGTTAAACAAATTTTGTTTAACATGGCACAATGACTAATGTACCATGCCCACCAACACTGACAGACAGACTGTTTCGACCTGTTGGGTCTCATCAGTGTCAGGCAGTTGGTGCCGAGACACGCTTCAAGCCAAGCAACCGCCCACCTATATACTAGTTGGGCGACCTGGACAGCGGCGAGATGCAGCGGCAAGGTAATATGGTGACATTTATCTTCTGTGTTCGCCGGCAGTGTTGTCAGACGTTTAAATAATTTCAGAAAGCTCATCAAAATGGCGGTTATATTATTAAATCTTTAATACTTAATTAATTAGTATACCTAGTATACCTATTTGACATAAATGTGGTGAATAATTATTTTAAATTTATTTAATTTATTTATTAAAACTTAATAAAGTACGGAAATATATTTCGTTTAGTTATTTTGCTTATAACCGGCAACACTGAAGACTACGCGTGCGTAGTACATATATGAAATACAATAATAAACAAAAAGGACTTTTTTAAGTAATTTTTTATTGTATTGCAGACTGTCATAGTCACATGTGGACCGTGGCTGTGGATATTGGCCTCCAGTACTGTCATACTGAGGCAGATCTTAGTGCTGGACATCAGTGTGGACCGTGTTGTGCACCGCAGCGTAGGGGAGTGCTACGAAGCTCGCTACGTTTGCGAATGATTGCCGTAGGCCGGAAGCTTTGGTCTTCGTCATGTTGGTAGCACTGATTTATTCTTCCACAAATACTTGCATGTTCGAATCACGTCGGGGTCACCAATTTATGGGGTTGTGGTGTAATTGTAACACGATGCTGATTGCAATACTGTATTTATTTACAAATAAACTATTTACAATAAGATGGTAGCTGTTGTCTTCTATGATGTCGATTGTGGTGTTGTATGATGCAGACTGTGTCTTTGATGATGGTGTGCCTGGTTTTTATATGCAGAAACAGTAATACCCAAAAATACCAAAGCTTAAGCCAGGTAGGTTCTACAGTAAACGCTTGTTTACAAACTATAAACTTAAAATTTACAGGTAATAGTATTTACATAAGATATCTATTAAACAATTGTTGTGATTTAAATTTAATGTTGGGGAAGTTGAAATTTAATGGTGAGCTTAAAATATTAAATTTCGTGTTTGCCTTGGTTGATACCTGAGTACGGGCGAAATTGCCGCTACATAAACAATTTCTTTTAATTTACATTGTCACGTGACATTTATAAAACCATCTCCCCCCAGCCGTGACAAATCGCGAGGGTACTTCAATCCCTCCCCCCTTTCAGCGTCACGGGATTTATGGACGGTCCCTTTTACATAAAAATATATTCAATAAAATTAAACTAAGGAAAATAACATACTAAAAAAGATGAAATAAACAATTTCTTTTAATTTACATTGTCACGTGACATTTATAAAACCATCTCCCTCCAGGGGTGCTATCCTCGAGCGCTCGACTTTTATTAACGTATACGACAGCATTCGAGACGTGTATTTCGTATTTTTGACCGCTCACACTGGGTACGTATGCGCACTAATTGCGGTTTTCTGCGAGCGGAATTAGGCATTTGTTTTCAAATGTCGCATACTTTTTCGATGGTTTTCTATGACATAAATATTATTTTTTGTTTATGCTATATATAATTAACGATTTATCCGATAAACTTTTCGTTAGACTTTTTCGTCTCTCAAAAGAATTGACAATGTTTCTTATAAATCTTTTGGAAAATGACTTATATCATGCCCATCATGCCACAGATTTAGATGTACCTACAAACAATTTTCTTCTATTCCCTCTGGGCGTCCTTGTACGTAAAATTATTTGAAAAGTTTCCACTTTGCAATGCTTCATTTTTTTAATCCCTCCCCCCTTTCAGCGTCACGGGATTTATGGACGGTCCCTTTTACATAAATATATATTCAATAAAATTAAACTAAGGAAAATAACATTTATTTTTAAAAACCTATTAACTCAAAAACTACGTATCATATTTTTTGTATTTTTATGTTTAAATATAAAATAACCCGTCTGTCGCTTGGTATGGCATTAGTACGCCATTTTTAGGACATAAATGTTCCAGTATTCCAGTGTTCCAATATTAGTATAGGGTTGAATAAAAAAATCACCATACCACGCCATAAATAAAAGTTTTTAGACCAACCTGTAGAATTCTTATTTTGAAGGTTAAATTAATAATTTAGATATAAAATTTAATTTGAAGAATATATAATCATTTTACATTACAACTGATATTTTAATACATAAAAATAATAATACAACTACATTTTTTTAAGACTTAAACTTAAATTACAAAAATACAAATACAATTTATGTCGGAAATGTAAATAAAAATGCATATATTAGGTAGGGAGAGTGGTGTTCCTTGGACAGTTTGTATCTTGGACCTCTCAACATATTTTATATTATACATTTTACTGCAGAATTCTTCACGCAAACAGTCGCGGATATTACTATTAGATGTTGTCACGTCATTTTTTCATTGTAAGTTTTCGTGGGAATGCAGCTTGTAAAACGTTTTCGGTTATTAAAATTAAATATTTCAATAATTTTTGTGAAAGTTACAGCACTTTATTTTTTACGATAACGGTGCGGCACTAGATCAGGTAAGTTTGATATTTATTATAAAATGACAAATTAAAACATAACCTCTTAACGTTGTTTGTCGAATTTATTCCTTGGTTAACATTTGCGTACCTTGGTCCAAGGTACTACAAGCAATCAGTGCTTTTATTTTATTGCAAAAAATGCTTGATGGTAAAGCAAGTTGTTTTTTATTTCCAGAATATGCCCCAAGTAGGGTAAAAAAACAACTTAAAAACTGCAGTAGAAGATGTTTTTCTGCGAGAATATTCGGTTTGTATGGCAGCCTAAAATAACAAAATATCAAAAACTACTTTTCTTTGACATTTAAAAGTCAAAAGAAAAGGCAAGAAGACTTTTACCTACCAATCAAATACTAGCAGATTATTTAAAAACCGCGGCAAAATTGCATTATGGTCTTTCGAAATATGAATTGCGGAAAGTTGCTCGAAAAGCTCTACCAAATTCTTTGAGAAAGAAAAAATAGCTCGTAGAGAATGGCCTGGGCGTGGAAATCATGTGCCTCCAATGCTTAAATTTCCCAGAGTCCACTTTAAGGGGCACTTGTTGAAGGGCGCTCCTCCTGGATCAATAGGAGGCGCAAATCTCTCAGGGTGGATTAATGAACATATATATATATTGATTATCTAAAGCACTTTATAGCCCAGGTTCTACTAACATACTCATACGTAACATAAGATCCAATCGCTCGATCAAACTGTATTTGGCCCATACAAAACATTTTACAACCAGGCGTTGAATCAATGGCTTTTAAATAATCCAGGAAAACCAAACAATATTTATGTATCCGAAATAATAGGCGAGGCTTATCCAAAAGCTTTTACAATCAACAATATTGTAAAGGAATTTAAAGTAACAGGAATTTGGCTGTTTAATGAGCACATATTTCGTGAAGACGAATTTCTATCTTGTTGTTACCGATCGTCCTCAAGAAGATATGGATATGACTGATGCTGAAGATACAAGCGACAATCATAGAGGTCCTGAGCAAATCACTGAGGCATTCACAAGTCGAGTTAAGCATGTAGTAAGGCCGTTTCCGAAAGCAGGTACCAGAAAAGAAACAAACAAGGGTTCAACAAGGATCTTAACTGATACACCGGTAAAAGAAGAGATAAAGCAAGAGCAAGCAGAAAACCAAACTATTAAAGAAGCAGTTGAAAAATATAAATGTGAGGAGCCAAAGAAAAAAATTACTAATTCAAAACCTAAGGAAAGTAGTGTTGAAGATGTGGAATTGGATGATTGATTCCTCTTCGAATGGAGATGTCGAACAATTCTATGAAAGCATTAGACAAGAAGCGACAAATGAAAAAATCGATGAAGGTCCAATTAAACAAAGCGATTTTGTCTTAGTGGCACTAACAACAACAAATATAATCCGTAATTTTGTATCCAAAGTAATGGGGATCATTGACGACGTAAAATTTACGACGTAAAATTCTACAAAAATATTGTTGGTACAACTGCTTCCAGAAGCTTCGTTCCCAGCAATTTTTTCTAAATATAAAATCACGTTGTGCGATATCTTCCTTTACCCACATCAGTTAAATTTTTAAAACGGCAAGAACACCAGCTTCTCTTTTCTGTGGGTTTTAGTAATTTCAACAATATTGAGCAATACTAATATTGTTTGTTGTTCATAACGTTTATTTTTTTTTAAGCATTTGCTTCAGTTAATCAAAGAAATTTAGTTTTTCGTTTTAATGAAACAATTTTATTAAAATTGATTATAAAGAATTGTTTATTATTATTATTAAACCAAGGTACAATCAGGGCTGGGCTAAAGTACAACCATGTTTCGTGCCTTGGACTTTTTTTTAATAATTTTTTTACCAAATATTTTACTTGTTACAAATCCACAAATTAAACTAGTCTATACAAACAACTAATAATTATTATAAGCCTTTAAAAAAAATGGTCCAAGGTACAACACTCTCCCCTGTCAGATATTTTTGGCATTTTGTATTTTTAAATATAAAATAACCCTTCTGTCGCTTGGTATGGCGTTAGTGAACCATTATCAGGACACCCTGTATAAATGTTTCAGTATAATATAAGTATAGGGTTGAATAAAAAGTCTCGATACCACGCGATAACCCGTAGAATTCTTATTATGAGGGTTAAATTAATAATTCGGAAATAAAATAAAATTTGAAGAATGTATAATCTTTTACATTACAACTAATGTTTTAATACATACAAATAATATTTCAAACACATTTGTTAACATTAACACTCAAACTTAAATTACAAAAATACAAATACAATTTATGTCCAAAAATTTTAGGTAGGTACTCTAACAAGTTTTCGCCGGTTTTGCATAAATGACTCTTAATTTGCATATATCTGCCAATACAAGTATCATTTCATAGATTTTTTTTTAAATGGTAGTGACCAATCAACGACAATCATGGAAGAAAATAAGCAATACTGGTATATAGGCAGCGTACAGTTTGGGAACTAAAAATTCACCAAACAGATCTAAACCATTTTCAGATGGCTGTATAATAGACCGAATTTCATGCCATCTCAAAAAATTATGAGTAGGTACTAAAATGAGTCCAAACCTTACACCTTCAATTCATCATTTGTTTTAATACCGACAAAACTCATTTAATTGTATATAGTTGGTTTTAAAAGAAGCCTAAAAAAATTTTTTGTCCAGAAACCAAAGAAGTTCTTAACTAATGCATCATTGCTCATAATGGAGCATATTTGGTTTAATAAAAATAAATTTAATATTTGTTTCAGATAGGTAAAAATCGGCGAGGACTTTTTAGAGTATCTAATATTAAGTAATAAATTCATTACCTAAATTTACTGTTTTAATAAAATGCATTAAATTGATTTCGGTTAGTTGCATTTTTACCACGATTCTTATTTGAAATTACAGGGGGAGGTGGGGCCAATAATGGTGAGCTTCTTCTGGGAGAATGTATTGGCGAGATGAGATTAACTACATCACTATCAGATTTTTTATCGTTTTTTTTAGGTATATCATTAAAACCTTCCTTTTCCGGATTCATGAAAGCATACAAATCTGAAGTAAGACTTTTGGCCTGGTCGGGTTTTGGATCGGTTCTGCAAAATTAAAAATTACAATGGAAAAGTATAAATACACTAGTGATGTAACGAATATTCGCATTCGCGAATATTCGCACGATTTTTAAGATTTGCATTGGCATTGGCAAAAATTGATGCGGAAAGTTGATATTCGCATTCGCATTCGCGAATATGAGTGACGAGAATTCGAATTCGTTACATCACTAAAATACATTATAATTTATATGCATGCATTGACTGTACAAAATACAATTATAAAAAGGCATACCAAATGGACTATGCTTATCTAAAAGGCACCAAGCGACTCATTGGCAAAAATTAGTTAAAGGCAGACAGAGGATGGTCTAATTTACTGATCAACGGACCAAATTACATGTTAAGATATATAAAACTTGAATTTAAGGCAAGCTGTTTATTTAAAAGGAACGTATGCAATTATATCAGACACCTTCCTACAAACCAGGTCGGCGCAAATGTTGATAAAAATGTCGATACTCGACACGGTCTGTTTACGGACCAGCAAACCTCGACATGCTGTACCGACAAAAACAGTCGTTTGTGGGTCGTTTTCAAAAAACACCCGCCCTCCGCTGTCCGTAAGTTTGAATTCCAATAACTTTATTAAAAACTATCAGATCTTATTGATTTAAAAACCAAGTGAAAGCCTAACAAGCCCTTAGTAAACTCTTTCAGAAAATGTTTGTTTCGTTATTTCAGAATATTTTTTTTTTAATTTTGAAACTTGTGAAACACACATTTTCGCATGTCCCATTAGCGTTTTATAAAACTTACATACATGTTTTTTTTAAATATTGAATAACCAGAACTTTGTGTTGCTTTATAGCAATCCATAACACCCTTAGTTAATACAGTAAACAATTTATATATAAATTAATTGATTTTAATCTACTTTTTTTAAATTTGACTCATGTCCCGTTGCGTTACGTCCGTCGCGTTACCGATAGAATATTTTAAAAAACATATATATGGCAACTTTTTTGGCACTCACGTGATCAACAAATGATGTTCGGACGTACACATTACCCAGCTGAATTTATTTATTCAATCAGGAAGAAGATATCGATTGAAACAGGTGCGGGTAACGCGAATGTAATAATTGTTTGTCCGCTAAGTTACTCAAAAAAATAATAAAAATAAGGTAAGAAAAAATACTATTTTTCATGTTTATGTTTATTTTAGGGCACTAAAGTCCACTGCGTTACCGAGTCCATTACGTTACCTTATGGTAACGCAATGGAATTTAGGCTAACGCAATAGAATTTTTCGACAACAAAATGGATATTTACCGTCGCTTTTATTAAAGGTAGTTTTGATAAACCCATTTAAAATTATTTGTGATTACAACTCATGATATAGATTACATCCAAGGGAAAATTCCACGCAATATACAAGTACTAAAAGGGACGAAAGACCTTCACCAGCTTATAGTCCCGGACAACAATCGGGATTTCCTGGTGAAGTCATGATGATATCACAACGTGATTTTTTTTATCACGCTGTGATATCCTGAGTGCATACACATGCTTCATCACAGTGATATCATGTAGAACTCACGGTGTGATATTTTCAAAATTTACGCATGCGTATGAGCCCTGCGAACTGCGAATTTAAAACCTAGTTTGTTATTCACATTACACCGTTGTAATTTATAAAACGTTGTTACTATCCCATACGAACATCATGTCGTGATTTTCACAAATTTTATTCCTACTGATATCATACGGAAGTCACCGCAAAAAATATTGAATGTATTTAACTACAAAAACTGTTGATTCAATATACAAGGTGTCCCTAAACTTAGTGGCATAAATTTAGGAGCAGATTAAGCAAGTCAAAATAAGACGAAAACCTAAATATATATTTTTCCTAATTACTTATGTTTCCAAGATACAGGGTGATAAAGTGTTACCTATCATATCAGTTTTTTTAATATAACTTCTACTCTGGTAGTCTTGGAAACGTGATATTTTGCGAACACTTACTATCAAAACACATATTCACACATAATTTCAATTGTTTGAGTGAACACAGTGTCATAGAAACGGGGGTTGCTTTAAGCTTCTTGTCCCATACAAACTTTGAGGTTAGGTTTTTATAACATTTGATACAATTTTTCGATTACACAGTTCGTCTACCATTAAAAAGGTGTACCTCTCAAACTTCGATAAAATAAACCGTTTCCGAGATATTCGAGATTACAATAATTGTTATATCGCATTATTTAAAAGGATTAAAAGGTATATGATAACAAATTTTATTTTTTAATTGAAAAAACTAAAAAACGGCATTCCATGAGCCTCGAGACTTTTTGCCCTGACCGTCACATTAAAAAAATTGTAGTTTTTTCAATTAAAAAATTTGTTATCATATACCTTTTAGTCCTTTAATGCGATATAACAATTATTGTAATCTCGGATATCTCGGAAACGGTTTATTTTATCGAAGTTTGAGAGGTATACCTTTTTAATAGTAGACGAACTGAGTAATCGAAAAAATGCATCAAATGGTATAAAAACCTAACCTCAAAGTTTGTATGGGACAATAAGCTTAAGCAACCCCTGTTTCTACGACACTGCGTTCACTCGAACAATTGTTATTATGTGTGAATATGTATTTTGGTAGTAAGTGTGTTCTCAAAATATCACCTTTCCACGTCTACCATACACAGTGGTCCTCGACTAGTCATGGGTTGTATGAAAATGGCGCCAAAAAATGAGTTCAGATTTTGATAGGTATATCTATAAGCATTGCAAAAATTCATCAAGTAAAACCGTAGCTGATCATTAACTTATTTTATGAATGTAACAATTTCGCATTTTTACATAGCCTTTAGATTCCTACAATTTTAAAAAAGGTTATTGACCAAAACAAATTCACATATACTCAATATTTGTTACAAATGTCTAGAGGAGAACTCAACAACAGCTTTCTTAACTGGATTTGATAGCAAGGATCTTGTAAGAGATTTATTTTTATATCGGTTCCAGTACAAACTCTATGAATAGATTCTCCTGCTTGCTCTGACCATAAACCAAGTCCACCTCTTTGAAGAAACTGCAAAGATTGAGTATGTATATGTTTTAAAATGACGTGCAATTTAAGAGACTTTGAAAGCCCAGCTCTCTAAAAATGACTAATTTAATAGATATTAGTGGCTTTTTCACTTGTTCCATGGATAACCATGGAATACCATGGTATCCTAAAATTTAATAGCCAATTCTTATATAAAATTGTCCCCTGAATCCGAAAATGTCTTCAAAAGTTAAAAAAAGTAGAACAGTTTTTGAGATATAGTCAATTTTCCATTTAATATGGAATTGACTATATCTCAAAAACTGCTACACTTTCATAATTTTTATTGGTATTTTCGGATTCAGGGGACAATTTTACATAATAATTGGCTTTTAAATTTTTGGATACCATGGCGACAAGTATTGCAGATGGAAATTGAAATTAATTAAAAATTTCGACGATTTTGTATTACCCATAATAATTTTCTGCCAACATGCTGTTATGCTCATGGTTGCTTACAATTTTAATAGGGTTCATTTTATCATAAAAGTAACAATAAAACCGACAAAATTTATTAGATTTGTGTTTTAAGTAACTGATTTGTGTTTTAAGTAACTGACAACCTTAGACCAAACCTAGGCTGACAACTGACAAGTTAATCAAATATTTTAGTGCCAACTTATCAATGAATCTATAGTTAACTTTTGTGACCTCCAATTATGTGCCAATTATTTAAATTAATTTAAAACAATGGTCAAATGTAAACATAAATAAAAGTATCACAAAAACATATTTTTATGATCAGCTATGATTTGACTTGCAGCGTTTTTGTAACCTTGATATACATGCCTACTAATATCTGAACCTATTTTTTGGCGCCATTTTCATAACACCCATGGCTAGTCAAGGAGCACTGTGCATAGTGGAAGTTATATTCAAAAAACTGATATGATAAGTAAACTTTATCATCCTGTATCTTTTAAACATACCTAATTAGGAAAAATATTTATTTAGATTTTCGTCTTATTTTGACTTGCTTAATCTGCTCCCAAATTTATGCCACTAAGTTTAGGGACACCTTGTATATATACGTATACTTTTTCTCTCAATGCACAAATGTGGCGCAAAAATAAATCCAAACACCGATGGCATAAAAAATCACGACATGATTTTTTATGCTATCGATGTTTGGGCATAAAAAAACACGACATGATTTTTTATGCCATCGGTGCACCGACATGTTTGGATATTTATTTTTGCGCCACATTCGTACATTGAAAGAAAAAGTATGTTAACAATTAAATTAACAGTTTTTGCGGTTAAATACATTCAATATTTTCTTGGATGTAAATTAATTGTTGATTAAATATATGTATATTTTCTCTCAATGTACGAATGTGGCGCAAAAATAAATATCCAAAACCGATTGCATAAAAAATCACGACATGATTTTTATGCCATCGGTGTTTGGATATTCATTTTTGCGACGCATTCGTACATTGAAAGAAAAAGTATGTTAACAATTGAATCAACAGTAATTTTTCTCTTAGTGTACGAACGTGGCGCAAAAATGATTATCCAAACACCGTTGGCATTAAAAATCACGACATTATTTTTTGTGCCATCGGTCAATCGCAAACAGCGATGGCATAAAAAATCACGATATGATTTTCATTTCTCACGCAGTGACATTCGGATGATGTCCCTATGAATAAAATTTGTGAAAATCACGACTTGACGTTCGTATGATTTTCATTTATCACGCGGTGACTTCCGTATGATATCAGTATGAATAAAATTTGTGAAAATCACGACATGATATTCGTATGAATATCACGAATGTTGACCGGGGTCAAAGAAAACGGGTGTCTATAATTTAGAAATCTAAGTTGTTATTCTGCAAGTGAGCACCACTACAAGGGATTTTGTTTATGCATTACTCTAAAATCGTACCACCCTATATAGTTTCTTTTTTACGTTATCTG